AACTGTCAGAATCACCCCAAGACCCTCTTATAGCAAGGTGAAAACGTCCTCTGCTGATGGTGGCGGATGCTGAACAATGAACATAGAGGTTTGAGAGTCGTCAAGAGGATTGCTTTTTGCAGCTGATTAGTCAAAGTGTTAAAAATCCATCAGCCTTGCAATCAACAGTCCTCTTAATTTACCGAGTAGTGAGTGAGTGCATATTTCAATTGACACTCCCCTGAGGTAAACTAGAACACCTCCCTCACCAGGGTCATCCAATACTTAAACTATTACATTCTACACACTGAAGTTTAAACATCATGGAGCTTACAGACTTTTGATAAATGCTTTTCTAACCTCTGGCACTTGAAGAGAAATAGTCTGGTTACAATCAGTCAAAATAAGAGACCGAGACCCCGCTGAGGGACTTACTCCTCTGTGGTCCTTTGTCGACGTCTAAGGGGAACACTTCCTCACTGGGGACGAATTAGCAGGCACACGAGCACCGCTGCATCATGGGAAATTAATGACAAAGACCTCCGGGTAGTGAGCTAACGAGTCCTGGTGCCACACGCATGCACATAATATAAAAAAGAACAAGTCCAGCAGTTGTGGCTAATACAGATGACTATCAGTGGTGGTGTATGAGTGATAGTGCACAGTATTAGAGACTGGGGAGGTAATTAGGGAGGACCTCCAGTGGATTTGGCCCATAGAGAAGCACTGATTACTGTCACTACACACTCCCCTGGGGCGACTGACAACAACTACACAATTAATACAAGTGCACAACTCACACAAACCAAAGTAATACCAAGGCTGCAATGAAAAGACCTTGTGTAGCAGCTGATATTTTCTCAACTAATGCTGCCCTACTTAAAGGTGCACTATGTAACTTTTTGGTAGAAGGCCCGCCAGCTGCTTGTTTCCATGGAGATGTCATTGCTTTGCCTGCTATGTTCCAAAGTACGACATTAAAATCCTATGTCAGGAGAAATCACTGGGACAATTTACAGATGAGATGACCCCACTCAGTCAGAATGCATGTTTTTAAAGGGACAGTCCGGGATTTTTGACATACAGCCTCATTTCAGAGTGAACCAGAATGTTGGAGACGTGTGGAGACACTTTAAAAAAAAAAAAAATTCCATTCAGTCCTTGTATTCGCAGAGGTCACTGGTGCTAGGCTAGTGCATGTAAATGGCCATAGTTAACCTGCCACTAAAAACAGTCTTACCCACTATTATTACGACAGACTATCGCTGTAAATGTCTGTCTATAAAATAATATCAACCTTGCATTTGGAGGATTTATGTCTGAGCAGCAGTGAGTTGTACTTCCTACTGGAAAGCTCGGCAGCAGCGGACTGATATCACCTAGCACCTATCTTACTGGCAAAATAAAATTCTGATGCTGCTGAGGAAAATAGTCCCTCAACACACGACGATTCATGCGATGCAAGGTTAGTTTTATTTCAAACATTATTCTATCAACACAGACATGTACATGGACAGTCTGGTATAATAATAGATTTGCTTCAGGTGTTTTGTGGAGTGTGTAAAACTGTTTTTAGTGGCAGGATAACTATGACCATTGACATGCACTACAGTCCCTGACAAAAGTCTTGTCGCTTATCCATTTTGTAGAAACAAAATCTTATAACCTGACTTTAAATTAATCGATTGGTTTTAGAAATGTCTTATATGAAAGCTAAAACCCTCCCAAATTATGCTCAATATACTAAAATAAATTTGCTTCACTGAAGAAAGATTGATCATTTAATGAACACAGAAAGGTCAGATTTTGGCAAGACAAAAGTCTTGTCGCCAACAGAAAATTGAACAAATAATTTACTTTAAATACAAAAATATGTTGCATAATGTCAGTGAATTAAGTAGTGGTGCTGTGAGATCCATATTTAATATCTTGTATGACTCCATGAGCTTGAAGGACGCATCCATGTGGTTCGACAATGATTCATACAATTTGTTGATGAAGTCATCAGGAATAGCAAAGAAAGCGTTTTACATGCCTCCCAGAGTTCATCAAGATTCTTTGGTTTTGCCTTCCATGCTTCCTCTTTCATTCTACCCCAGACATGCTCAATGATGTTCATGTCTGGTGACTGGGCTGGCCAGTCCTGGAGCACCTTGATCTTCTTCACCTTGAGAAACTTTGATGTAGAGATAGAAGTATGCGATGGAGCACCATCCTGCTGCAAAATTTGACCCCTTTTATGGTTGGGAATGTAAGAGGAGCTAATACTTCTTGATATTTTAGGCTATTGATGTTGCCTTCCACCCTGCAAATGTCTCACACACCCCCATACTGGATGGAACCCCAGACCATGATTTTTCCGCCACCAAACTTAACTGTTTTCTGGGTGAATCTTGGATCCATGCGGCTCCAGTAGGTCTCCTGCAATATTTGCGGCGGCTGTGATGAAATTCAACCGAGGATTCATCTGAGAAATCCACCTTCTGCCACTTTTCCAGTGTCCATCCTTTTAGCAGGCTCTGTGGGCCTTGGCAAATGCCACACGGTTTTTTAATTGCCTTTTGTTTAGTGCTGGTTTCTGTGCACTGATTCGACCATGGAGGCCATTTCGAGACAGAATTCTACAAACTGTTGTGGTTGACACAGGGACTTGAGGTGACCAGGCCTGGTGGAGTCTGCTGCAGTGGAAAAGGGGCTGGCCTTGGATTTTCGAATCAACAAACGGTCCTCCCGAGCAGTTGTCTTGCGGCGTCTGCCGGACCTGGGCTTGTCAAAAACATCTCCAGTCATTTCAGATCTTTTTCTTATTCTTTGTACTTGACGCTGAGACACATTGAAGGTGTCACCACCTCAGCAGTGGATCTGGTCTTCAGCCTCTTGATAATTAACGCTTTGGTCTCAGGGTGGATCTTAGGCATGTTGTCAGAGGTCAAGTTGCAGTTGATGTGAAGGTCTGGTGTGCTGGGGTTCTTTTTATACACACCCACTAATTGATTGATCAGTAACTGATCACAGGTGAGGCTGTAATCTAGGATTGGGTGCATCATATAACAAGGTGACAAGACTTTTGTCTTGCCAAAATCTGACCTTTCTGTGTTCATTAAATGATCAATCTTTCTTCAGTGAAGCAAATTTATTTTAGTATATTGAGCATAATTTGGGAGGGTTTTAGCTTTCATATGAGACATTTCTAAAACCAATCGATTAATTTAAAGTCAGGTTATAAGATTTTGTTTCTACAAAATGGATAAGCGACAAGACTTTTGTCAGGGACTGTAGGCTAGCACCAGAGACCTCTGCAAATTCAAGGACTGGATGGAATATTTAAAAAAAAGTGTCTCCATACGTCTCCAACATTCTGGCTAACTCCAAAATGAGGTGGTATGTCCAAAATCCCGGACTGTCTCTTTAAAAACATGCATTCTGATTGAGTGGGGTTATTTCATCTGTAAATTGGCCCGGTAGCTTCTCCTGACATAGGATTTTAATATCGTACTTTGGAAAGACAAGGACTGGATGGAATATTTTAAAAAGTGTCTCCAAATGTCTCCAACACTCTGGCCAACTAGAAAATGAGGCCCTATGTCCAAAATTCCACATTGTCCCTTTAAAGGTATTTTTGAGCAATAAAAACATCCATAATTGAAAAAAAATGTATCTTAGTTAAGTTTAAAACCATATTGTGGAACATTACAGGCAAAGCAATAGCATCTCCATAGTGGCGGACGTCCAACCTGAAAAGTTACACAGTGTACCTTCAAAACTATATGTAGCAGAGACTATGGTGTCAAGTATTATTAAAGAAATATTCTGGAAACATGGCTCAAGGGTGTGTTCAGACTTATATATACAGGTTATTTGGTTGTAAAATTTGAAGCCAATTTTTGTCCAGATGATGTCTTGGTTTAGTTTGGGTTTAGATTGTTGTTATAGCACTATTGCTTATAGGCGCATATTATGATGTATTCTGATCTATGGTATAATGTTGTTTCCTCATCAAGAACATATCTGGATGTTTTGTTTCAGTCACGCAGGTTTAACACACAAACCCTGCATATTTGGGCTGAAGTTTGTATCAAACAAAAAGCACTATGTTCCACTTTGTGATGTCATGTAGTAATTCAAGAAGTGCTCCACTGCGTTAAACTCCACACACCTTGACTAGAATCATTTGGATGATTTAAAAAAAAAAACTACGACTAATAACACAGGATTTCTCAAATGTGTGACTGAAACAAACAGCAATTCCTATTACTATTAACTACTGTCATAAATGTGTGTGTACATACTATAAGTGAGAATTTACACATTGTAATAACTTGGTTTATTACAGCACTACTAATGATAATAGTAATAGGTACTAATATTACTTCCACAACTCCCAACTTCAACATCTTTATTGGCAAGACAAGGCAGTTTATTTATTAATAGAAGCAAAATATGAGTTTGTTTTTGACAGAACTTACAAAGAAATGCCTGTTGCTGATACTACTTTATTTTTGAACTTTAGAAAGAAAGTTGTGTTTGGTTCCATTTGCTTATTTCACTTTCACTCACTTACCCAAACTAATTACCAAAAGTCTCTAATATTGACTTAAATCAGTTTTGTAAATAGACAATAAACATGCCAATATGAGCGGCACTTTTTCAAATAAAACAATATGACCATAACTTTCATCCTTGTGTTATTTATTAAAAATATGTAAAAAATGTGTGGCAAGAGTCAGGTCTTGGTTACACATCTTGCGCGTGACAGGTCTGCACTTTTAATCCTATAATTCTAAGGCTTTCTGTCCTGACTTTCCTGTTGGACTGGCTCTGTGACAGCTGTCTATTGCTCACGCCAGTGGGCGCACCTCTCCAGGATTTCACAGGGCTTTGTGCGCTCACCACACCCTGGAGACCTGATTGGCTCAAAGTTTCGTATCCCCGCCCCTCGCTGCACGCGGAGCCGCCCTTCCAGCACCGCGTTGCCCTGTTGCTGCTGCCAAACCCACTGCACTTCAAATAATCCAGTGACTCATTACAGTGAACGAGAACGGACTTTTAATTCGGGGTTAATCATTTACAACGCCTATAAACACATTAGAGAAAGGCAATGCGTAAAATGGACACTTTGACGCAACTTTTGAAGGATCCTGACTTATTATGATTTGGATTTTGCAACGTGAAGATTTTGAGACGCTCCCTACGTGCACTCTGCAAAACTGCCACTTCAAATGACTTAAAAGTTTATACCTAGCTGTTTTAAAGTTCGGGGGACTTTTCCAGACCCTGATCAAAGTAGTGGTACGTAACCCTCACCTGTGCCATTGACGCTCTGGCTGCTCCGTGGCTGGCTGCTTCTGAGGCGGGAGCATGGGCTTTTTTGAGTGGACACCGGGGGTTTGGAGACTGGCCATTCTCCTCTGCAATGTAATTCCCGCTGTACTTGGCAAGAGGCACGCTGTTTACTGGAACTCCACAAATACAAGGTGGGAAAAAACACTATGCATAGTTGCTGTGACTGTTCTGTTCCTTCAGCGTGAGGTTCACTTCAATTGAACTGCATTAAGAAACACGTCTGAGCTTGTTACGCCACGCTTTCCTTGCCCAATGATCTCTGCGATTCCAGCTTAATGAGTCAGGCTTTAGTTGGCGTGAAGAATCTTAGCTATGCACCTTGCGTCCTGTAGCCTACGTGCGCTCAAAAGGCAGCCTCCTAAGTGTGTACAAGTTATAAGTTTTATTACACTTTAATAGCAGGTGAAGTTATGAGTCAGAATGACCTGTGCCTTATAGTTTGTTCATCTCCTCTGGTTCTGTAGTCCAAGGGCCCTGTTATAGTTCCTAATAGCGCTCCAGACAGCACACAGGTGGGGATATTAGCCCGATGCGCTCCGGTGAATGCGGTGAGGTCTTTAATGGGGAGGAGTATGTTTGTGACTGTGCGTAATGGCTTGATTAGGGCCATTAGCGAACTACAGGGCCTCACCTGCTTGCTCATCCAGGTGCTCCATAATGTTACTGCGGCTAATTGAAGGGTTGAGTCCGGAGAGCTGTGGGGCCAGTCGGGTTACAGCCCAATAACACATCCGCCGCGCTTCCACCTGCTTATTTAGACTCTCTCTCTCCTCTAGGCCCATTCCCTAAACGCTCCCTGAGACGAATGACCTTTTTGCTTAATAGCTGCTCGCGTAGAGGCTACTGTTGCTCTCTTCGGATCATCCTGTCTTTTACATGTGGGTGCGTAAAACGTGACAGAAATACGACTCTTGAGATGGATAATTCCCAGGGGGCTACTTTGTCAGGCCTGCAGGAGTCATCTTGTACAAGGTTATGCACGCGGTGTGCCCAAAGAGGTAAAAAGCACAGTTGTAATTGAGTTTCTGATCTGAGGGGGGAACAATGTGGAGGATTAGGAAGAAGCAGGAAGAAGCGCACCTTTTTGGTCCCGCGAGAGAGTGAGAGAAAGAGTGAAAGAGAGAGAGAGAGAGAGAGAGGTGCAATCAGTGCCATCAGCGTGGTGGTGGTGGTGGGGAGACCGGTATGGCACAGAATCAGCAGCGCCAGTACCACCCAATCACAAAGCTATCAAAGAGGCTCCTCACTCTCTATCCCCTGGGTTTACACCGCCTCCCCTCCTCTCCTTACTCTTCATTACCTGCTTTGTTACATCCCTCTCCCCTTTTCATTTCTGTCTCCTTCTCATTTTTCTCCTACAGCTCCCCCCTGCCCACTGATGGATATTGGCACCATGATTAGTCGAGCTTCACTCATCTTCCCATACTATATTTTCTATTAGCTGGCAGCCAAGCAATGCACTGTTCAAACTTTAGGCCTGTAATAGTGGCCTTGGAGGAGGAAGTGAGGCAGGGCTGGACTCTTGGTTAGGTAATGTCAACTTTACAGGTTATATTGCTCTGCCACTGCCCAAGACAGCCAAGAACACAACAACAGTATGCACCCACTGACCAGATCTGGGTTTTGGGCTGGGGATATAATGACTGAGCCACTGCTGCTAGTATAAAGCAGTGTTGTTGACTTTGTTCAGCATCTTTATTTTAGTTCATGTTCTAGATTTTGGTCCAGATTTGAAGCTATTACAATCACTTGGACACACAAATGGCTTTTTAAGTGGTACTTTTTGTTAAAATACAAAGAAAACTAAGAAAGAGCAAAGCAAACAATATCTAATATATGAGTTAAAATGAACATTTTACTTTATTTGACTAGATTAAACTTGACAAGTGAAAATATCTGCCAATGGAATAAGTGTGTTTTTCTTAATTCAAGCAACATTCGGTTTTGTTTCTTATTGTAAGTGCAAAAAGTTGTTGTTTTTTCTTATCTTAAGTGTAGCAAGATGTTTTTTCATATTTTAAGTACAAATGTCTTGTTCCACTGGCAGATAATTTTAGCCTGATTCATCAGTCAGTTTCACTTTGGACTTTGTGGAAACCGTCTGACCTCACAGCTTTAGAATTCGTTCGCTTGATGGTAGGTAGATACTTTTTTTAAATTTAACCAATCACTGCTCTTTGTTCATGACATATGTAATGTGTCATTAACGGGGTTAACTGGTATATTAAGCTTTTCCCAAATCCCATAGGAAGAAGGACAATAACGTCTTTCCCCTTGATAAAATTCATCAAACATTCTTTGTTCTGGCTTTAAATCCTTGATCTCGGGAATCCTTCCCAACACAGAATGTAACGCTCTTCGCTGATTGGCTGGTGCCCGGACTCGCACTTCTGGGTTTTTGCGAGCCATCTCGTGTATATTCCAATTTCTGATCTAGTCACAGGAGACAAAAGAAATTGAGCGGAGGCACTAGGTGGCTAAGATAATTTTACTTGTCAGGTGAAATTTACTCAAATCATGATAAAACTTTCTTAATTCAAGTCATTTTAACTTTGCTAGATTTATTTTTTTTGCAGTGTGAGGGTTACAGAAGTTAAAGAGTAGTCATTTTTGTCCCAAGGGAAAATACTTCAAATCACTTACTAATCTATGTGTGTTGTTTCCTCATCACAAACATATCTGGACTTGTGTTTTGTTTCATTCCCACATGTTAAACACACAAACCTGCTTATTTACGGTGAGTTCTTCACATTCTGTTCCACCTTGTGATGTCATGTGGTAATGCAAGAAGTCCTTCACTGTGTTTTTAAACTCCATGCATCTTCACTAGAATCATTTGGATGATTTCAGCCCTGGAACTGCCATTCAAGGTCAAAGGTAGCTCTTAACTTCCTACTTCTTCATGACATCATAAGGTGGAACAAAACATTTTGAGCTCTGGAGATGTACAGAGCCTTATTCAAACATGTCTGAATGAAACAAAACACAATTGTATGTATGCTTTTGAAGAGGTAAAAAGATTCTAACACGGCTAAAAGCTCACAAGAGTTAATTTAGTGTAATATAGAACCTTTAAATACTAATTAATAAAGCGTATTTGATAACGTCCTTACATGGTTCTAAGTTTACTTGCTTTCTACACCACAGCGTCTTTTGGAAAAGTGTGATTTTTACAACCAACTGTGCCCCTTTGTGACAATGACATTCTGAGGCTCACCTTTCTTTTGGACGTCTAGATTTATGGTTTTAATGAAGCAGAGGCAGTCAAGTGGAGACTCCTCACTGCTAATACCGTGTAACAAAGGCCCACTCAAACACTTATACTACTGTTCTTTTAGCAGCCCGCAGATTGAAAAATGGAGCTCTAAAATGAAAGTGATGGATAGTGCGCGGGGTCAGAGGAGAGCGCTGTCAAATCACGCCCTGTACTTCTTTATTGTGTTCTTCTCTTTTATGATTTTTACGAACCGACTTTTTATGACGGTTTTATTGCTGTGTGGTAGCTCCTTATTAAAAGTGAAATTATTTTGCACTTCCCGGAGCAGTTAAATGTTAGTAAAATATTATGTACTTTGGTGGTTTAAGAGTTAGTAATGGTCGACTCAGCCCTCTGTTGAACTAAACAAGTGGATCAGGCTATTTGCTGACACAACACTGGCTCCCGCTCCGGTCTCTATACATTCATTCTCATAAATCCACTCGGGAACTTTGCTCACACCTGCCCAACTTTTGGAATTGCCCATTTCTTTGCGGAATATGGCACAGAAAATGCCTTTTAACGTCGAAATAGTCCCTCCTTCTCGTACATCACCATCAGGATAAACTGTCTTTCAAAAGCAGGTCAATATATTAGCTGTTTTGTGTAAATTTCTTTGACTGTTGTGGCACACATTTCTTTGTAGCTCCTGTGGGCAAGTCTGCTGCTACAAGGTTAGACAAGGTTACTTCATTTTTTTATGATTTCATGTACATTTTTTATATGTGGGCAAATGGGTAGACATACTTTAACTTAAGATTTACTGACATGTTTGGGTTTCTAAACAATCTTTGGTTCAGTTTTGCCTTTTAAGGTTCTTACCTCTCCACAAACCTGTCCAACTTAGTGCTGTTGGTGTAACTCAGGCTCTATCACTATATTATTAGGCTACCTCTGCTATTTCGAGCATGCACAACACTGTTATTACTCAAAAAACATTCAGTGACTAAAGCCACAAATCAACAAAAGCCACTTCTCCACCAAATTTGTGACAACAACAAAGATGACTGTGATTTTTACGTCAGATGATCTACAGAAGAATAGTGCCAGTAATGATGATTATAGATGACTTGCAGTTTTAGTATTATTAGGGGTGCAACAATAACCAAAATATCGTGATATCGTATCGTCAAAAGTCTCTCAATAATATCGCGGGCCATCACAATATATCAAATCACAAATTTCTTTGCTTAAATTCATTGTTATGGTGCAGCAGTAGCTAAAAAACAGAGGGAACTACATCGACCATGATCCTTTGCTCTGTTTTGGTGCGAACTGCATGAAGAATTAGCAGTTCTAAGCACTTTTAAATCTTAGTTCTTCAGATTAAGTCTTGTCAAGGTATTTTAAGAGGAAAAAAAGCATATTAACCTCCACAAAATATCAGTAAATAACAATAAATATCATACCGTGACATGTATATGATGAAAATATCATACTGTGAGATTTGGATATCGTTACATCCCTAAGTATTATATTGCAGACCTGTCACGATAATTATTATACTGACTTATTATTAAGTCAGGGTTTGAGCTGTAAATTTGAATCACTATTTTATATTATGACTCAGTTTAGATATAAATTAACTACACTATCACTAACTACTGTCACTCTGTATTTATTTAATTACATTTATTTGTATGTTTTTGTGTTTTTTTGTTTTATTTTTGGTGGAAGTAGATATGTCCGGCTTTAGGGTTATTGCATCCGTGACATGGATTAGTGTCACTGCTAGTGTTTTTTTTTTTTTTTTTTTTTGTCTATATTTTATTCTGCATTATAAGGCACTCCAAAAAATGTTATGGTGACTGACAGCTCTATATACTTTTGGTTAGTGTGACATCAAAAAGTAAAATATGAGTGTTTTTATTATTT